ACTTTGCCCTTGAGAAAATAGCCTTCAAACAAAAGAATATTGAAGTTCCTTCCCCCGTGACCTTGAGGTGACTGGTTGCCGAGGGGGCTAGTCTTCGCTTCTAACTGGCCTCCACGCCAGTCATCTTTGCCACAACCACATTCTTATATTCCTCTTATCACCACCCGCCGTTATAACGTCAAAAAGCGTGTTCAACTGAAAAAAAAGGTAGGAGGAAATGGAGGTGGAGAAGGGTCTGATTTACGTACAATTGGGAATATGTTAAATTATTAACTGTTTTGCTTGACTGTGACTATGGCAGCTTCAGTGTTGTTAAACACATAAGGGAGCTCTTATATTTTGTGATCGTGTAAGATTGGTAAATAGTCCCATAGACTGTATGAACAAGGTTATTTACACACACACACACACACACACACACACACACACACACACACACACACACACACACACACACACACACACACACACACACACACACACACACACACACACACACCTGTCCCCTGAAGCCCATATCAAGAGGATAACATCAGCGGCATATGCCAGGTTGGTCAACATAAGAACGGCATTTAAAAACTTGTGTAAGGAATCATTCAGAACTTTGTATGCCACATATGTCAGACCAATCCTGGAGTATGCAGCCCCAGCATGGAGTCCATATCTAGTCAAGCATAAGACTAAACTGGAAAAGGTTCAAAGGTTTGCCATCAGATTAGTACCCGAGCTGTGAGGTATGAGCTACGAGGAGAAACTACGGGAATTAAACCTCACGTCGCTCGAAGACAGAAGGGTTAGGGGGACATGATCACCACATACAAGATTCTCAAAATAATTGATAGGGTAGATAAAGACAGGCTATTTAACTTAAAGGGCACACGCACTAGGGGACACAGGTGGAAACTGAGTACCCAAATGAGCCACATAGATATTAGAAAGAACGTTTTTAGTGTCAGAGTGGTTGACAAATGGAATGCATTAGGCAGTAATGTGGTGGAGGCTGACTCCATACGCAGTTTCAATTGTAGATATGATAGAGCCCAGTAGGCTCAGGAACCTGTACATCAGTTGATTGACAGTCGAGAGGCGGGACCAAAGAGCCAGAGCTCAACCCCCACAAGCACAAATAGGTGAATATATATAAATATGTATATGGTATTAGATTACTTCACACTCAAAAGAGGTTTGGGGGGTAAAAAAGACTTGAGAATGGTCCAGGACGGACCGAAACGTCGTCGTCCCTTCACCTTCTAGTGTGTGGTCTGGTCAACATACTTTAGCCACGTTATTGTGACCCATCGCCTGCATCTGGGGGGTAAAATCTAGTTTAATTCCTTGCTCTTGAATTGTTCTGATGTCTGCCATGAGGTAATCTGAGAGTCAACCAGACTACCACCATCTAAGAACCAAATGTTAAGCTCGCTGCAGAGGCTTTTGGTGAATCCTTCAGTGACTAAGCAGTAAAGGAAGGGGGGCAAGTCAGCCTGGTAGACACCTTGTCATAAGTTAATTTCATGCTCACCAAATAATAATTTAGTCTTCACTGTAGCATGATTGTACACATTGGAAGGTGGAAGGGAAATGACTAAGAAGAACACGATGAACGAGATGTCTCGCGATGTGACGTCGACTCGGCAATCGACTGGTACCACAGTAGAGAACTCAGCCGACACTTACAGGATTACTTTTGGTGCAAACAGTACCCAGAAACATGTGAACCCTCACTTTGTTTGGGCCTCTAGGTCTCAACGCACCGTAGGTCAGTAAACTCCCCGTGTATTGGTTCATGTGCTTCTGCTGGCTTGGGTACACACTTTTTTGTATTTCATTATTAGTTTAAATATCTATTGTATTGTGAGTCAACATGACTCTGCATGTTTCATTGTTTTCATAGTCAGTCCTTTTTTCCATCTGGTTCATGCAGTGTGACCATTGTTGGGAGGGAGGAGTAGCGCTGCCACTGTTTCTCTCTCCATGATAGCTGGTAGGTCAGGTCTGGGGACGATTCAGGGAAAACTCTGGCTTGACAGTTAGTCAGTCCTGGGCACCCTGGCGGTCAAGTATATCTCTCTCTACATGATTGTTTATGTTGTATGCTGCCGTCTCTTGCTCCTGTGTTGTGCTGCTTCTCTGTGGCTGGTGTCTCTTGCTCCTGTGTTGTGGTGCTTCTCTGTGGCTGGTGTCTCTTGCTCCTGTGTTGTGCTGCTTCTCTGTGGCTGGCGTCTCTTGCTCCTGTGTTGTGCTGCTTCTCTGTGGCTGTTGAAGAGTTTGTGGGGTTTCTGCCACTGGCCACGTCTTCTCTCCCTCTGCAGCACCCATTCTCCTTCCTCCACACCTTGTCATGTTGGCTTAGGAGACACTGATGAAGACATCCCTCCGCTCACGCGCAGAGGGATGTCTCGTAACTCGTCCTACTTCCTTTGAAAATTGCTTATTGAGTTCGTCTAGATAATCTCTTCTTACAGCTTGTTCGGCTTCCAACTCTTTGACTATCCCAAAAACATGCAGTCTGCCAACTCCTTTTTTTAGTCTCGGCTGACTTGTGTCGCCCAATCATATAATTGTATAAAGTTTGTGATGCAAGATGTACCGTCTCTGAACCCATGCTGGGGTGTGCTATGAAGCATCTTCTCGGATGTGCTACTAGACATTTTCTCATAATTTTCTCCATTACCTTGCATGGTCTGCAAGTTAGTGATACTGGCCTGTAGTTCAATGCCTTCTGTCTGTCTTCCTCGTATATTGGTACTACATTGACTATCATGCAATTTTCACATTTTCAGTGATTATACACCATAGGAGAGTTAGTATAGAGCTTCCAATCCTTATTTTAGCATCCATGAGAAGAACCAATCTGATCCAACACATCTTTGTCCTTTCTAGTCCCAGCAGATGTCGTCTTATTTAATTTCTGCAAATCACAAAGTCCTACAGAGGCTTTGACACCATCTGTTAGTACAGGGGCTCACGCTTGCTTAGTTATGAAGACCTGAAATCTCTTGTTGAATTCCTCACACACCTTTCTGTCATTCTTTGTGAGCATGTTCTCCCTTATCTCCAGTTTCATCACCAATGGAATAGTTTGGGATGGGTGTTGGTTAGGTAGTTTTAAAATGACCTTTCCGTTTATTTTCTCACTATTAGGTACTTATTCCTGGCCCTCTGGTGCCTCTCTTTGCGCTCTGCTGTTCTGTAGTTCTTGAAGTTTCTTCATTATTTTTTTTCATTACAGGTGGGAACAGAAGCAGACGACTTCTGACACCTGTTTGCAGGCTGATGAGAGCTTTCCCTTTGAATAGCTCATGTTAAGCCTTACTCTTCAGATACCCTAGATCACAATCTGCCCATTGGTTTATATACAGGTACCAAATCATTGATGGGTGACCAGTGACGAACAGTTAAAGATTGGCGTCATATGTCAATCCTCCCTGGCCAGGGATCGAATCCAAACGAGGTTGCTTTCGAGGCGCGGGATAAGTGTGCCACCACTGTACCTACAGAGACTACCTTTGAGTGTTGCCAAAGTTATCTTGTTTGAGTGGGGCTGCAAACGATAGATGCTTTATTACCTCCCTTACGACATGATGCCATCTTTCTCCCCCCCCCCCGTGTTTACCACATTACATAACATGTGTTGGGGGATTAAACTCCAGGATCCACTTGCCATTCATGCAGTCTAACCACGTCCTCCTGCAGCTTGCTGAATTACTATTATTTCTAATAATTTCAACAGTTACTCATCATTTGCAAAAACTGACATACATAAGATTTCATGACCTCAATCGACTTGAGAATGGTCCAGGACGGACCGAAATGTCGTCGTCCCTTCACTTTCTAGTGTGTGGTCTGGTCAACATACTTTAGCCACGTTATTGTGACTCATCGCCTGCATAGGATTTAATATCGCTACATGCGTCTTTCACACACTTCTAGAGCAGTATGGATCCGAGGACTGTTTCTTGGGGGCACAGGCCGCCACACTTGAGGACCGCTACTTTTCACAAGCTCCTTCTGTACACGTCTTCCCACCCCGACCCTCGGCCTTCTCCTTATCAGGGTACATCATCAACCATTGGAAAACCTTCCTGGTACGCACCATGCAACAACACATAAGTATCATAAAACCAGAGCCATCCAGTCTCCTGGTGGGACTCCTCTCCCTGTACGCGTCCGGCCACAGTTGTCTGGTAACACACACAGAGGAACCCAAGAATGTGGTACTGTAGGGCAATCAAACTGCTAGCCGCTCCTCTGTGCTTTGGAACGTTTTATGGCTTTAAAACAGGGACGACTGACGGAGTGGCGCCAAGCCTGAGTTGCTTATGATTGATTTATGTCTGAGTTGTACACGACAAGTTTCCATAGCCTTTATTATTCACTACAGAGTTGTTTATGACATGAGAATAAGAAGTAAAATTATTAAAACTAATTAGATGACCTAATTGCAAGTGTCTGCATTGACACAAAATATATTATTGCATTAATAGAAACATGGCCGAATGTAGAACCCACAGGGAACTACTGTCTGATTCTAAAGTAAATGGGGACAAATTATTTTACACTAAAATACAGGTTAGACGAGAAGGGAGAGTACCAATACATATCAGAGCAAATGGTAAATGTAATGTCAAAGAATGAATCAAAGCCGAGACATACACAGAAACTATTTGGAAACAAATTAATGAAAATAATGACATGACAATGCATTACGATACAGATTCAAATTATAACTCATTTAAAAACATTCTTAGTAAACCCCAAGAACATAGTACACAACATAAATTGATTAGGTCGAATAACAATGACCCCAGTTGGATAATCATGGGATTAAATAACTTTATCGTAAAGAAGAATGCTACAAAAATAAATTAATATCGACAAAGCCTATTTAGAACAGTAATTTATCAAACTAACAAGAAATGTTAAAAAAGAAATGTTAAAATAAACTATGAAGTACACATAGCAGGACAGGTGAAGACCAATCCTTAAGGGTTTTAAACATGTATCAAACAAAGAGCAGCGAGACCCGGCCATTGAAAAAAAAAGAAACAGATCAGGTAACTGATAATGACATAGAAATAAGTGGTATTTTAAGCAGGTACTTTGTCTCTGTATTTACTAGAAAAAAACTTGATATTATACCTGCAGCTGAACAAATCTATGTAGGTGGTGAGGATGATGAGCTAACTAGTTTAGTTGTTAACAGGAAGTTACTTAACAAATTTAAAAATTAAAGTCCAACAAATCCCCCAAGGCCAGATGAAGTGTTTGCCAGGGTGCATAAAGAATATAATGAATTCCTCAGATTAGGCAAAATTGTAATTAATTTTCGTCAATAAAGATGTCAATAATAAATAAAAAAGAGCTTAGTGACCCCAAGTCTTGTATATTCAGTAAATCATTAGAGTCGAGTAGAGTATCAGAGTCGTGGAGGGTTGCCAATGTGGTGCCGAGTTTTAAGAAAGACAATAGATTACTTGCGTTGAGCTATCGTCCAATTAGCTTAACATGTGCTGTAGGAAAATTACTTGAATCGTTAGTCACAAATAAAAACATTCGTTTACATCTTTAAAGCTCCTTCAGCAGTGTTTTTGCTCATCTCTCCAACTACTGTGTGTTATAAGTTGTTGGAGATTGTTACAGCTGGCTTATAGTTTGTATTAGTTCAACAGGTGTGGGAGTGTTTTGTTTCTACCACAAACATGGCCACACATTTACACTGCTAAGCACCATATATATGTATTTTGTCTTCTGTCCTCCATGGACAGGGTTGTAGATCTGTTAGACATATAGTCCATTGATGTACTGAACAATCAACCACAGAAGGTAACTGTAGTGATTTTAAGGCGTTAACCTACATACATAAATACATACAGTTACGTCTGTCTTAAATAAACAGTATTCGAGGTATGTATTTTTTACAATGTGAGTAATGTGAGCTTACAAAGGTGAGCTACAGAGATGCCTTCATTCATGCTTTTGGAAATGGCGTTTAGGGACATGTTAAGATCCGTGTTAATGCTGAAACGTTCATTGCTGCTGACGTCTGTGAAATTGATTTTTTCTTCTGAATGCCTCAGTCAGCTTTTGTGTATTTTTTATTGGTTCTTACATGACCTCTACTAGGCTGTGTGTGTGTGTGTGTGTGTGTGTGTGTGTGTGTGTGTGTGTGTGTGTGTGTGTGTGTGTGTGTGTGTGTGTGTGTGTGTGTGTGTGTGTGTGTGTGTGTGTGTGTGTGTGTGTGTGTGTGTGTGTGTGTGTGTGTGTGTGTGTGTGTGTGTGTGTGTGTGTGTGTGTGTGTGTGTGTGTGTGTGTGTGTGTAACTGTGGCAACTGTTTGATTGTTTGACTTACCACTGTGGCCTTGGCTGATGTAGATAGAGAAGTCAGGACCCAGACAGGTTATATTTATATTCATGATTTTACTGTGCATGGCGTCTCCGAATTATTCTTCCCTGTCCGAAAGCTGTTTGTTATTCAGACCTCCCAGGAAATAGGCAGATCTCTTCCTTCTTTCTGAGTTTCAGAAGTTAGTCATGATGAGTTAGTGTATGAAATGAAAACAGTTCACAGGGGAGTCCCTGTAGCCTGAGCAACGTGTCCTGTTCCCCCACTCAAGTTCAAGTACGTTTATTGAGACAATAAAATACACCTCAAAGGGATAAAATAGCTTAGGCTATTTGTACCCTCCTCGTGTTCCCCACTCCACGATGGCCTAGGCTACGGGCTCACCATAGCCCGTGCTACTTGGAACTTTTTGTTCCAGGTAGCGAATCTTAAACAAAAACAACATGGCCTACCAGTACACCCACACCCTCCCGACTGGGCCTAACTGGAAGGCGGTCAGCGGCCCCCTTGGAGGTAATTTGTCTGCTTAACTAGCCTTTATTTTTATGTATTCTTCTTGTGTATCATTTCTACCAGGGAAGAAGCAGATCCCTGAGTATGAGGGGATGGCCAGTCCCCCGCTGGTCTGGTACTGGGGGGTAGCGATCATAGTAGACATAGTAGATAAAGTAGATATTGTAGACTGCCGTCGTTTGCTCTCTTGTTATCTCGCTCATAACCTAAAACAACCAACATGATATCATTACAGCTGGAGCGTGTTGATATGTTCACCATTTACAGTCAATTTTAAAACTGTAATGGCTTTCAATGGCTGTTTCTGTATCTCGGTGTCACAGAGGCTTTCTTACATCTAAACATTACAGAACAATTACAGAACCATATATATCCTGCTTTTCTTTACACACAAACTATAACACAACTCCCATTGTCGACGACTGAATTTGTCGTCAACGCCTGCTTTAACAAACTGGCGTGCGTCATCTGATTTACCTGAGGGCCGCTAGAGTAGTGGCCGCCATGGGGACACGAAGCCGCCAGCTTGTCAAAGGTCCCGCCATTGTTATTGATGAATTTGTTTTTGTTTTATATCTTGAATTTAAACTGAAGTCATTTCTTGGCATTTACAACTTCGCCGGGCAGGCAATTCCATGGGTTTATAAGCCTATAGACGAAAAAAAAACATAACCCGTTTTTTTTTGTCTCACATTGTGGCTTGCTGAACTTGAAGCTGTTGCCCTCCCCCCTTGTATGCGCTATATTTGACCTTTTAACAAGTATTAATAAAGCTCAATACCCTCCAAGTTCAGCAGTGTAAAGGTTTCGGCGAGATCCGCCCCGTCCTGTCTGGTTTGATGTGAGGACCCTGAGGCCCTCAACCTTTTTTTTTTAGTAAAGAGGAAAGAGAGGCATAGGTGAAGAGAAGTTTAGAAGTGGGAAATACAGTGAGAGGTATGAAAGTAGGCGGGCTGTCCGCCTTGCTGACTGAGAGGTTTGAAAGTAGGCGGGCTGTCCGCCTTGCTGACTGAGAGGTATGAAAGCAGGCGGGCTGTCCGCCTTGCTGGCCCTCCACCGTTGTGTCCACTTAGTTCAGAGATACATAGTCTCCAAGACGTCTCCCAGGATGGTCCCGCCAGACACCTCAGGGTATAACTAGTCCTTATAGATCTTCCCAGTTCCTCAGCTCTGGGACCACAGTTGGTCAGTATCGATTCAGTTTCGACCGACTTCTTCGACCAAATAGATTCTCATCACTTTATTTAATCGGATAATATGTGTGGATAATACAATGATGTAGAGAAATAGAATTAGTGGTTTCTTTACTATCTTTGCTAACGGGGATAGTAATGATAGGAAATTTATATTTTTAAAGCATGCTTTACGTGACTGAATGTGTAAATAATTTACAGTAATGGCATGTAACCCTTTTCATCAATTCCGCCTTGTCTTCTTTTTTCCTATCAACCTCTCGCTAAGAAATCCAACCTCCTAACCTAACCAAAAACGTACGAACCCAAGCAACCCACCTAACCAATCGAGTCCGATGCATAGAAAACGTAGGTACTTGTGACCTGTCACTCTTCATAGTAGACCACATTTGAAACGTTAGTTGCTATAACGTACAAGACGCGGCCGGTGAGTTGAGAGGACGGATTGTATTCAATTTAACATTGTTATTCCTTCTCTGCCACAACCACACCTCTCCCTCCTCACCCGCTTCTCTCACCCACCCTCACACACTCTCACCCACCCTCACACACTCTCACCCACCCTCACACACTCTCACCCACCTTTACACACTCTCACCCACCCTCACACACTCTCACCCACCCTCACACACACTCTCACACCCTCACCCACCCTCACCCACCCTCACACACCCTCACACAACCTCATACACTCTCACCCACCCTCACACACTCTCACACCCTCACCCACCTTCACACACTCTTGTAACGGGGGGGGGGGGGGTGGGGGAAATAGCTCTATCTTGTCCATTATTCCACCCCCCAGTTAACTAACGAGGCCGGGGGAAACAGCTCTCTCTAGTCCGTTATCCCGTCCTCAGTTAGCTAACTATTCTAGAGCACCCCCAGAGTTCCTAAGGCAACCTCTCTCGTTCAACACCTTGTAACCTAGGTAATTGACTACCTAGGTGCTAAGACTACAAGGCGCCGTCACTTGATCAGTTACCCGAAACTCTAGAGAGAACTCTAGAATACAGAATCATTGCCACAAACGTATAAGAGAAAACGAAAGGAAAGAAATGAATAGTGAAGTAATTAGTGAGGGTTTGGGGTGAGAGGTAGGGAGGTGGGAGGAGCGAGGAGGGTCATTAGTTGAAAGTGAGAGTTTAGAGAGGGGTGGAGGGAGAGGAGTAGATAGGTAGAAGGAGAAGAGTAGATAGTAGAAGTAGAAGAGTAGATAGTAGAAGACGAAATGCTGCCACCATCCATTCATGATCATTACATACAAGACAAGGAATGGAACTTGTCTGTATCACAATATTCACCAAAGATGTTATTAAGAGATCATTATTAGTATGGTCCCATCTTTATCATGTACTCATTCTAAACCATGAAACCAGTAACCACAGAGGCTTTCTCACCTCCACTCAAAATCTCTAGGGAACAAAATAAAGTCCATTTAAATAATAAATTCAACAATTATATTTTTCATGATAAGTATCATAACTTAAGCAATCCAATTAAAATGTTAAAGATTAATATTCAAAGTGAGTCATCCTCCAAGAATCTGAGAACACTACAACTGACTGCCCCTGATCATCACACAACACTTGTAAAACACGACCAAGTCACCTAAATGTTCACTCACCGAGGACTGAGTCTAAGTTGAATAGAGAGGGGGGGGGGGGGGGAGTCTGCAATTTTCAAGCAGCGTCACCCCCCGTCTGGTGACGGCCTATCTCGACGGCTGGCCTCTGCTCTGCTCCGCTGGCTGGTCTCCTATTGCTTAATCCTCGAATCGATAGTTCTCCGAGTATATATTGGGGAGCCTAGTAACTAACTCCGCCCACAAGTAGATAGCCTCCGGCTCTCTACCAAGCCACTCCTTAAACGTCGGCATGTTTGAAAGCTACCAGGCTCCAATTAAGAGATTAGTAGAAGCAAGGTGAAATTCGCATGATCTGACCTCAGGTCACTTGAGGTCATTAACGCTTTGAGGTGTGAGATCTCAGGCCGACAACCTGGCGCCTTTCTCAAATCCCTGTCTGTGACTCATGTACTATATA